TTTATTATATAGATATCGATGAAATACCAGGTTTTCTCTAGTGTCGAAAACTTGATATCTTTCACCAGTGGAAGATACCTTATCTTTCACACGTGAAGATATCGCTGTTGACATAGTAGAATGCTCATACTAAATCCGTGAAACAAATACTAATTTTCAGCACTAAATAGTGATAATTAAACAATAGAAAGCAAAGGATTCTATTATATTTTATATAATAGATTTTCACGAACGCGCGCTCTGATTGGCTGAAAAGCTGTTTTATCAGAGTATAGAAACATAGATATGACGTCAAAACCATGTTTTCTATACAAAATTAAACATAGAAAATACAAAACAGGAATTCGGCTTTTCAATTTCAAGCATTTTCACATTTTAAATTTAAAATATTCATTTATTTTCATCAAGAATTATGTCTTTCCTCTAAAAAAGGAAAATATGTCGTTTTGAAGCACATTTGATTGGTACTACATTTCGACGAGTAAAGCTTTTTTTCGCTTGTGCTGCGACTATTACAATGACCTTATTTCGCTAAACTAGAAGCTTTTTGCTTGACCGTGATGGTGTTAGAGAAGTCAAAAAATAATTTGAAATTTTTTTCATAGTCTAACAAGAATGAACAAATCTATCGTAAGAACATAACAAGCCGCAAGCCCGTTTTTTTGGCGATACTTGTGGTGGGCGAGGCGTTTGTGCCACAGCAGGGTATCCACCTTAGACCGAAGCAGTGTTTACTTTAAGATTGTATTAGAATGATTATGTTGCTCTGCTATCCTATGCCGGTACCTCCATGGTTAACAGCCGATTTTAATGAATTCGATCGCTGTAGATCGTTACTAAATATACTGGACAGCTAATGGAATCTACACGATGCTATTCTGATCATGAAATTGATCTATGTTGTTCGAAATATGCCGTCGAATGGTCAGCGTTTGGTAATGTACAACATGATTCTCGGCTCAAAGCTCACATTTTCGATCTAGCAGAAAATTCCAGAGTAGATTATGGTACAGCAATGTTTCAAGAAGAACCTTTACTTAGTGTTTGATGGTATTGATCCAGGAATTTAGAGTATAGTTGATGATATATGATCGTATTCTAGGCCAAACGTCTAATAATATAAATTGGCGCGAAAACTGAAGTCTGGCAAAAAATTCGATGTTATGTCCTATTTAGAGATGCTCTTTCTGTCGAATACGTCAAAATTATAGCTATAGAAGATCCTTCACACTCGTGCATGCCAATTTTGAATATATAGCCTTAGCTTTTATGATAAGATGTTCTTTAAATTTGACAATAAATGCTGCATTGTTGCTGCATATGTTCCCGCGCAAATTAATGTTATATTTCTGTAATAAATTTTTAATATATAGCTAGAAAATGGAACCCTCTCTCCTTGCTTTCTCAGGCGGCTCGCCCGAAAGCAACAGAATTGCTCAGGTGGCTCGCCCGTAATTCTGTGAGAGGCTACATTTTAAATTTATATTCGATCGTAGTCTAGTTTTAATTTTTTTTATAGTAGTTAGAAAATGGAACCCTCTCTCTTTGCTTTCTCAGGCGGCTCGCCCGAAAGCAACGGAATTGCTCAGGTGGCTCGCCCGTAATTCTGTGAGAGGCCACATTTTAAATTTCTAATCTCTAATCGTAGTTATAAAACATTTCATAGTTAGAACAAAATGCGAAGAGGTAAAGAGAATAACAGCACTGCTATTTGATCATATTACGCTGCTTTGTATCGAAGTGTTAATCCAATTGACACGATACTAGAATTTGTGGTAGTAACCATAGTGATACTGGGAACATGCTGGCACAAATATTCACCAAAAAAACGGCCTTGCGGCTTGTTATGCTTAAGCTTACTTTACAACTACCATCGTCAATTTAACGCTAATTTACGGTAATTTTTTTACCCGGTAATTTGTTTTCCAATAGCCCGAGACTACGAGTACAAAATACTACCTACACTACTATAGTTCAGGGTCAACTAAAAAAACAAGTTTTCCAAGTACTGCACTGCTAGCTTTCTTCCAATTTTGAAGATCAAAATCGGCTCCTCGTCTCTCAGCTCCTTGGCATTCAAAGTGTTCATAAGCTGGTTTTCTTGAGTGTTTGTACAGGTTAAATGTCCATTTAACGATCTGAACTTTGAAAACATTTTTCAAACTCTTCAGTATTTGAATTTTCATTTCTTCTAGCAGTTAAATGCTTGTTTTCTTTGGCTTTCATGTTTGCTAAAATTTACAAGCAATTCTCCTTTCTTGTTGAACAAATGCGATAAACCAGTTGTATGCCAGTCTGTACAGATCTGTCATTACCTGTCAAAATTGGACCAATCAAATAGCCATAGGTCGCGTTTTTAGCCAATCCTCGCATAGATCAAGTTTGTTTGCGTAAGTTTGACGACAGACGCGCGCTCTTTTTGTAAACAAATCTTTTTTTTGAAATTTTACGCTATTTTTTTCGTAAAAATTTATCATATAAAGCGAATAGATCAGGCTTAGCTATGTTCTGTTCTCTGATAAAACACGACTGGAGCTGTAGAACACTCAAAACTTTATAGAAATCACTCGAACATAGAGCATAGCTAAGCCTGATCTATTTGTTAAATAAATAAAGAATTTTTGAGCTTTTGTTTTATTTAAGTTTCATCGATATCTATGTAATAAACAGAACATTACATGGCCGCTTGGATATACGAATTTTATCTTCTCGTGTTCAATTCAGTGAGATATGAATTGAACACTCGAAGATAAAATTCGTATCTTCGCGCGCCCATGTTATGATATCCTCTATGTATACTACGACAAATATTCGCCCTTTATTTAGATTATAAATCTTCAAGTGAATTAGGTTGTCAGTTAACCAACTATCGTATAGACTTTCTCTTTTTAACCAACTTTCCTAATGAAGACTTTCTTTCAAAAAATTCAATATCTTTAAAGGTAAATTATTTTAATGCTGGATGAAATACAAAAAGGATTTAAAAACATATTCGGAGATTTTATTGCACGATTTTGACTATCACCTTTCAGTTTAATCTAAATTGAGTTCCCTTTGCCTATTTGGAGCTCCGCTTTAAGGTTGACCCAAACTTAATCAGAGCGAATTTTGGATAATTTTGTTCTCGCTCGCTTCGCAAAACAAATGCGTCAATTTAACTGTATTTTTC